GACCACGGGGATCATAGGTAATAACTCCACGACTCCAGGAAGACTGCAGGAAAACCTCGATCCTCATGCCAATACGAGACACGGACGGAACAGAATCCTCTACCTGGGGATGGGGTACAAGTAGAACCACGTTGTAGGTGTTCTCGGTAGTTAGCAGACCCGACGGAAACCGGACACGCACCCGGCGGTCTGATAGACAACGGACGACGTGTCCTAAACGAAACGTCATGCCCAACTTCCTTCCGGACATGTGTACCAGCACACTGTCACCCGGGCGGAGAGTCACAGTCTCATGAGACGAGGAAGCGCACTTTGAGGTAGCAGACTCGACAGACTTCTTCTTAAGCTCTGACCATAACCAAGAGATAAAACAGTTTCGAAAGGCCCGAATTCGTGTAGGAGCAAAGGAGGGAACCGCATCCGAAGCTGGATGAGAGTACAAACAACCTCGGCGACGAGTATAGCCGAAGTAGAGAGAATCAGGGGTGATAACATCAGCACCTTTTTCACTAACATAGTACGTACCCAAGGGCCTCGTATTCAAAATCAACATCACTTCTTCCAACAGTTCTTGCTCTCGGTAAGCGTCATCCGGCCAGCGACCACTAGAGTGACGCAAAAACACCCGCAGACGGTCAGCGGCGATATCGTGGAGCTTTTCTGAGCCCAACTCCCAAGGGGACCGACTCGAGGTGAGCTCGACGTGGGCATTCAACAACCGCGCCGCTTCCTCTTGGAAGAGTGACGGGGAAGCGAAGTAAGAAGCACGATCCGTTACAATCTCTCGCACTCCACCCGTGCGGAGCTGCAGGATCTTTAAGGCTCGGAGGGCTTCATATGCATTCTCAGCTGCGACGGGGAAGAAGAACACGTGTCTAGTGAAACAACACATAGCCGACAGCAGTTTCTTCTTAGAACCGACAGAAAAATAATCCACCGCTACACGATAGTAAGCCGGGAGGCCCGATAAACGAGCCGCTTCAGATCGAGTTCCCGGCAATCGGGATAGAGACCGCTGTGATCTCAGAGTGCGACAGATCGAACAGTGAGAGATCAAGTCCCTCATATCTCTCGTACTCCGAGGCAAAAAGAAGTCGGTAATATAGGATAAAGAAGGGCGAATGCCTTGATGGCAGCTTTGCCGATGTCCGTCCAGGAGAACTTTCCGCCTGAACGGACCACAGCCGGCAGGAAGGACGAACTGAAATACTTCGGTGCCGAAAGGAGTACCCGACCGAAAGACGACTAGCCCATCACCATCACAGACATAGGGACCACAAGAGGAGCCACGACCACCTCGAATCTTCGCGCACTCGGGATCCCGGAACTGTAGTGCATGAACCACCGCCCGAATATCAGAAGAATCTGGGACATAAGGATAGGACAGCTGCTGTAAGGCTCCGTCGCCCCGTGAATGAGTGTGGAGCAGGCGGAAAATGAACCTCATAGCTTTCACAGTGTTATACACCGATACTGAATCATAACTGTCACGAGAGATGTGATCAATTAAAGGAGACGTCCCCGGAGGGTCGATGACGGATATAACATCCGCTCGAACATTGAGAGAAGAGTTTTCAATAGTACAAGAGGCGAAGAGACGGACTCGATCGATAATGTCATAAGGAGTTAGATCGTCACCGGTCACCTCGTCATAATGATTGAACTCGGGGTCATCGACCTCCAGATACATTAAGTCATCGTGATCATCATCTGTTGGCCACGATGGAGCGTCGGGATTCTCTTGACCCACCAGGGAATCGCCGATGGAAATACCACCTCGAAGTGTTCGGTCAAAAAGGCGAGACAAACGATCCGCTTCGGCATTCAGACTCCCTTTGATGTGGCTTACGTTGACCGGAACGCGACGCCTGATAAGCTTCAGCTCCTCGGCGAGAGCGAGGACTAGTCGACCCAGAGCTCGCTTTTCGATCGCCTTCTTCTGACCAAAGAGAGAAACCGCATCCTCTGCCGCCCAGGCCACGCACGCTCGGTTATCGGAGAGAATTACCACACCCGTGGGTAAACGACACGAATCAGAACCACCCCTATGGTGAGCGAACAGATGTTCCAGGACATTAGCAAGCACCCTCAATCCTGCTAGTAGGGCCATAAGCTCACGCCGATTAGAATGGTACAGACGCTGAGAAGCCGACCAACGGAAGGCATCCGAACATAGAGGGACGGCTTCATTGTTGGGCCCGCCCCCCCTGGCGGATTTGCTTATAACGAATCCACCACCTGATCGGGAAGCATCAGAGGCTAAGACCAATGAATATTCTATGCCCTGGGATATACAGGGAGAGTCGTGCACACAGTCAGGTTGGGACGCTAATTCTCGTGCCCAAGAGAGGAGCGCGATATACGTCTGGAACTGTTTAGCGCTGAACTCGGACACAAAGTCGAGAGGACAGTTCCAATCATCGCGACTAAACCGTTTACCGATAAGAGCACGGAGAGCATCTGCAACCGCGCGAGCTTCGGGATGTAATCGTGCAGGGTCGAACCCCAGTAACCCGCAAACCGAGTAGATATCCTTCTTAGAAGCATTCAGGGCCTTGTCAGAGATCACAAACTCATGCACTCGTTGGAGTCGCTCTTGATTTCGGCACTGCAATCGCAAAATATCACCAATATACTTGAATGCCACGCCCAAAACCTGAATACTTTCATGAAGGATATCACGCAAAGCCGACTGACTCGGTAATAACCTATTGAGGGCACTTTCCGAGATGATACACTTGAGCTTATCCCGTTGGACCCCAAATCCGCATAAGTACATTGCGCAGAAGAGTACCGCGAGATTAGTATAGACTTCATCAACATTGCCACCAATCACAAAATCGTCCACAAATAAACTCCACACGCAGGCTTCAAAAATGACCGAGATCGATTTCACCAATCTGCCCAAAGAGCTTAGCAGTCCAGTAGGTCCAAAGCATAACCCAAAGCACATACGGAGGCTAACGTACAGCAGACTCGCGGCTCCCAGGAGCAGAACCAAGTTAGTTAGCCTAATTCGATAGAATGCTTGTTTCGCATCCGCCGTAGATATCATAGGAGGAGATACACATCGAAGACAAGCAATTACCAGGTATGCGTCTGGAGCCTCGCTGCTCGTGGCTGGGAAGCCTTGATTGACTGGCCTACAATCGAGCACCAGGCGAGGCTTACGCTGGACCGATGGGCCGACCAGGAATACTGGGATGACTGGAGAAACGGAACAGGGTAACCTTGCCAGCGGCAATTCCTTGCTCCACGGAGTCCACCAGTTACGGTCGACGTATTCCCCAATTAGACTAGAGAACCTCTCCTGAAGGTCTGGGGACAGTCGATCATACAATGCCTTGGAGTAATTACGAGAAGGTGGAACCTGGTGGGACTTGAAGCTCGAACAGTCAATCTCAAAGGTGAAAGACTGCTGAACTGTATCCCTCACCTCTACTGGAGCTAAATGACGAAGACGAATGCACAAACTGTCGCTGGGACATTTTTCCAGAGGGTGCCATCCCTCTTCACATAAGGCAATGAGAATGTCCTTCACACGTTCGGACAGCTCCGCTCGTAACTCCAGGGAGAAACCGTCTTCGTCGGCTGCGCACGTGGGTTGAGGACAGATTCCTGGAATACTAATACTCGGGGTAATAATCTCGGTGGCTGATACGTTGTCAGCCTCGAATGAGACATAATTGGGAGGTGCAGTCTTGAGCTGTCCTCGCGGAGATGCACGATAAATACAGATCCCGTTGATCGCAGCGAACTGAGAACCTTTCACCTCCACACCACAGTGAGATTGAAAATCACGACCC